CCTTAATGGAGATCACATCACAATATCAATACTGGTCGCAATGATACAGGACTCTATTGAAATAGTACTATTTCAATGAGCCGCTCATCAAAATAAAAAGAAATAACATAATTTTCTATTTTAAATAAACCACTGCTATTCCAATCTTAAATTCTCTATCATACCATATTGAATCAACTGGCCATCGAACGACCGGCAAAATAAGTCGCATACGCACGCAGAACGGAGGCAGTTTGCGTCGGCACAACACTATCAATCATCCGTTATCCTCCTTTTGCCCTCACTGATTAAATTATTCCAGAGGTGACTTAATGAAAAAGCCAATGTTAAGGAGAATATATACTGCAGGATCGGTGGGAACGGATTTTGAATAGCTTAAGGGCGTGATTTTTTAATTTCTGGGCTTTTTTTTTCTTAGATTATAAGTGGACGATAGGATTTCCAAGTAATGATACGATGGAAAATTATTATTTACGTTTTGTGATAAAAGCTCTTTAATATAGGTACTACATGTGCACCTTCTATGTGTCATAATGTTCAGTTTTTTTAATTTTATTTTATTTTATTTAATAGAAAACAGTTATTGTGAACTTAATCTAAGTGCTGTCTTAATAAGTTAATGTGTTACTCGTATAGGTGGTTTAAATAGATATTGGTAGGTAAAAGACGTTATTCTACCTCATTACGCGAATTGCTGAATCCAAATAAAAAGCTGGTTGTTTATAAACTCTCAAATAAAAAAAAGTAACACCAGATTGTAATAGCGCACTCGATTGTTTGAAAAAGGAACATTCTAAAGTTCTTTTTTTAATTTAAAAACTCAGGCTAAGGTTTTAACGAACGTGTAGCGGTTAAATAACTGTTTCTGTTTAGTGTACAAACTCCTTACATGGATATTCTTGTAATCATAACAGAACTATCGTGATATACGTGGGCCCAATTAATATGCTCCTTGTCTTAGCACCGACACCGTGATATTGATGAACGTAGCTAGAGATAATTGGCTGCCTTTAATTAGGTACGGTATTGATAGGTCTGATAGTGTAGCTGACATTTTGTGCATCTGAAAGAGGCGGCGTTGGCTTAGTTGTAAAGACGCAGCTAAGTTCTTTTGAACATGTTTATTTCTTTTTGTATTTTATTGATCAAAGTTAAATTAATTTTAAGGGTTAGTTTATTCAGATGAATTTTCAGGCATCGAAGTCCTGAAAAGTACCTAAAGCGTTTCATGAAGTCGCGCACCTTATCAGACTGTTTGAGTCAGTAGACACCTGTAATTTTTCTTTAGATATCTACGAATTTTTAGGACAGTCAAAATACGTACACGGCCACAGTGTTAACTATCCATTTCCGTTTTTGCTCTCGCTGTCATCAAATGGTGATTATTTGCGATAGAACGAGACGACATGACCGGCAATGGGTAGTTAACACTGTTGCCGATAGTACTTCATAAGCGATCTTGTAATTTTGTTCAGTTTTTCTGCCTTTGAATCTCCTTCTGTGTCAATTACCAAATTTGTCACCGTCAAAAATGCAACCAGTGATTAGACGGCCAAGTCACGCATATCCTGACTGCCGAGACCGCTAACGAGCAATACCGTACCCGAACAATTTATTTAGTTGAATTAACCAAGGCGCATCACATTTGCATCGTATTTCCATAACGCAGAGCGTAGGGTTGCCAGGTGTCCGGATTTAGCCGGACATGTTTGGCTTTGGACTTGTCCGGCCTGCCCGGCCTAGACTTTTTAGTTTTTACGTGCCGCGCCAGTCGAAAGTCAAGCCAAAGAATAATATCGAGCACATAATTATGCGCGTATCAGGATGTTGGGCTCTGTAGCCCAGATAAATATACTATTAATTGGACCTCCCTCCGTGACATGGCATGTTAGCTATTAAACGGTAAATCCGGCTTTTAGGGTAAAATATCCGGCTAAATTTCACCAACACCTACTCTTCCCGCGGGTGTCGTAAAGGTGACTTAGGGACTACATATAAAACAGAGAACGGGCAGCAACGCTCTCTGAAAAACATCAATCTTTTAAACTGCGATCTCCAACCCGCCTGCCAAGCGTGGGGATTATGGCAAAACCCTCCACTATTGTAGAGGAGACTCATAGTCCAGCTGTGGACTGTAAAGGGCTGTTGATGATTATGATGTCCGGCCAAATGAAGCATCGGCAGTCCGGCTTTTGTTTTTGGAACTGGCAACCCTAGAGATACGCCCGGTATCTCCTGGCCATACGTCACTGGTACGATTGGTGATCGAGCGTGTGATTATGATAGCGGGCTTGTTTCGATTTAGACGGCCGAGAGGAATGATAAGGAGTTACACGGTTGGTTAAGTTTTTAAGAGTCTTTTTATTTCGTTAATTTGACTCTCATAAGACTAAAAGGTAGTTAAGAGTAATTACATATGGCAATCACATAAATAATGTGTCAAGTCATTTTTGATTCCTTGCAGAGATTTTTTTAAGTTGCCTATTATTTTTAATTTTAAGTTGACCATAAGAGATTTTTAAGTTTATAAATACTTCAAATTATACTCTAGGGTCTTTGTAAAGCAGTGGACGTCATTTGGCAGAAACGAACGATACTGTAGGTCAAACAGTTGTATTTTGTTGATGGATCTAGTTATCATTCTTATTATTCAACATTTCAATAATATCTATGCGATATTAATTGTCTCCCAGATTAATTCTGTGTCCCTTTTCTGGTCATTCATTTCATAGAGAAAATCAGGTTGATATAAAAGGTTTTGCATTCTGCAACTAGAAAGCTGGTTTTCATATTGTTTGTGCTTTAAATGCAAAGTTCAAGTGCGAACCAATAAAGAAGCCGCGTGGGCAGAATCTAGTTCTGTGTAACGCATAATCAATTTTATCTGTAAAATTAACACTACCGATGGTTAAGTGGAACGTGTTCATATCTTAATGCCTTTTCAGCTTAGCAAACAAATTTAACTTAATCTTTAATTAACAGCGGGCGTATAAATATACAATTTGCATTTATATCTCGACAATGATGCAGATGTTCACACCGTGCGTTTTGTTGGTGGAAACCTATATCGGTTTAATATCGTTTCTCCAAGGGCTGCTTCATTATCGGTACGTGAGACCGGTTTTTTTTCTCGTTGTGATTTATCCAACGGAAATTGTCAGACAACGAATGGGTCTTTGTTTATTGATTTATTTAGCAATATTCGGTAGCGGGGAAGGTCGAAAATAATACCTATCGGAAGCCATTTTTTTTGTCCTGACTCCTGATAAAGCTACCGCCAGTTTTTTGTTTTGTGAATTTGGAAATTACCTTTTTAGTTTTAATTTAGACACGTTGGAATTAGATTGGTGGGTGTGAACTGTAGGCAGGGTAGTGAAAATGAACTGGGAGGAACCTTTTTTTTTGCCTTTTTTGAGTGAAGTCAATTTACGGTTTTTTAAAGATGATTATGTACAGGATATTAATATGACTGTTTTAAAGAATAAATTATAGCTAGTAATTAAAGTTAACTTCTAGAATACAATATTGACTTAAGTTTGGAGCAGATTAAGAATTAAGAAACTAATTTCCCATATATGTAGTTCTAAATGCTCGCAACAGTCAATACAAGAAACACCATTAAAGGGGTAGATTAAATCTAATATAGACCTATTTAGTCGTATCTACATCAAAGAGAACGTTTAACCACAGCCTAAATTATCAGCCAGTCCAAAAAGTAGAGTAAGGCAATTTGTAGCCCTGGGAAGCCACATGGAAATGACGTCACGGTGAATTCAATTTGTTCAGCGTTTACTGGACAGTAAACTCTGTGATGGCCATCAGAGACTGTACTTGAATTCTGATGCTAATGTTTCTAACGACGTTTATTTTTTCATTCGGAAGTCGTTTCTGTTAATGGACAGTTGGCGGTACGGACTGGACGTTTTGTTGCAAACTAAAATCTATTACAACAAGTTAGGATGCTACATTGTGGTGCTTGATGTGCTCTTGCCTGTACTACTGAATGTAGAGCACGAGAACAAAACTTCATTAATACATTTACAATTCAGTCTAAATCTTATAACTAACATTTTCAATGTATCGCTATTGGTTTCTATAAAATAAAATAAATATATCAGGGAGTTGGAGTTCAACGTTTTTAAATGGCATCTATAGAGACAAATTAATTAAAAATTAGGATCAAACAGCAGCATAAGTAATAAAAGCTTAATCTAAAACATAACCCTATTTTTGGGATGTTATTACTTTCACTTCCATTGCAAGCAATAATTGAAGGCAAAATTCAAAAGGATCGGAATGCGGTAGAAGTTTTTTAACGTTGTCTCTAATAAAAAAGTAGTTGTCTCTAATAAAACCATTTTTTGCCATTTGGCTACGGAACCCTAACAATCACATTACTTTCAGCGTTATAAAACACCACACTCACGCATATAAAACCTCACACACAGCAACCGCGTTCCATTATAAATTCATTTGCGCGCACGCACGATGGGATGTCATGACTTTGATTATTGAAGATGATGATTATTAGCCATTTTATTGTCTCCCAGATTGATTCTGTGTACTTTTTCTGGTCATTACCATCCAGAGGGTTATGGGGACTGGTTTTGTACTGGTTTGTAGCTTGAAGTGTTAAGAGGATGATTTGAAAGGATTTCAATATCTACCAATACGTTTATATTATTATTTTTAAATTAGAATTGCTTTTGGAATGTATCATTTTATTTTACAGATTATATTTTTTTATTAAGGTGATATGGATGTATGTAATTAAGTAGATATGGACAATACATAATTCTCAATTTTTAAAGTAGGTAGGTAATTTTTGAAAAGAACAAACAATAGATATGATGGACTTCTAGATGGTAAAGTCTATGCTAATCGATGGTCAGTGATGCATAATATTCTAGCGTAGCCTTGAGTCGAGTACCTTCTTGTAAATCTCTCTCTCGACAAAATACAAATTTCTATGTACTAATTTCTCATTTCTTTGTCTCCAGGAAAAGCCTCACAAGTGCAGTCTCTGCTCCAAGTCGTTCCCGACTCCTGGGGACCTCAAGTCCCATATGTACGTCCACAGCGGCTCCTGGCCCTACAAGTGCCACATATGCTCCCGAGGGTTCTCCAAGCACACCAACCTGAAGAACCATCTGTTCCTTCATACCGGTAAGAATTGACATTAGCACTAAGAGCCAAAGCACACGATGCGTTGCGATGTCGCACTGCAAAGATTTCGCCGTATCGCGCATGCGACACTCGTGCTCGTTCGTTTCAGCCGAAAAAACATCCACTGCTGGACAAAGGCCTCCCCCAAGGATTTCCACAAAGACCGGTCCTGCGCCGCTCGCATCCAGATACCTCCCGCGACCTTCACCAGATTGACCACCGGTCGCTCCACCTAGTGAGAGGCCTGCCCACGCTACGTATTCCGTGTGCCCGCCACAGATATTTCTGTGTAAGGCGACACAGCAACATCGCTCCGGCGTCGCACTGCCGGCGCAACGCAACGTGTGCTATGGCTCTAACACTACAGATAGTGACGTCAATAGTTGACTTAGGTAATTAGTGAACCTGGTCTTCAGGACCCTGATTCTTGGATTTGAACTTCAGATACTTGCTCTATCTACTAAGTAACACAAAAAACTCTTAGTTGAATTTCTCAAATTATTCTAGCTCTCAGATAAGCACGATGTAGAGTCATTCATGCTCAGGGCACTGAAAACAAATGTGTACAATATAATAGGTCACAGTGTAGAAAATTGAAAATAAACAAAACCTCATGTATTATTTTCTTTGTTACAGCTAAACATCAAAGAAACAGCGCGAGAGAAGCAACCTGAATCTCCCAGACACTAAAATGATGATTTTTATCAAATAATATACTTCTACAAAACAGTAAAGTACTTACATATCTATAGGTATACAAAATAAAATGTGTGATACTAGCTCATAAATTATATTAAGTTTTAATTTATTATTCATGGTAAAAGCGTATTAAGCTCGAGCAGTTTATAGGGTAAGAACTTATTCAGTACAACACTGCATTTCTGAACTTAAGAATTAAAAAAATAAGTTTTAAGTTTTTTTTGTTGAAAAAAGATCAAAATTGGTTTTTGTTTTTATGATCTTAAAAACTTGGCACTAAGTAGAATTTGATACACAATTTGCGTTCTGCGGTCTGCGGTCACGCAGCTCGCAACATATTGTATGAATAATATTGATGGAAAGGGCAATGCTCGGTGTTTCTTTACGAGATCAAATCAGAAATCCGTAAACGAACTAAAGTCACTGACATAGCCCGACGGATTACCAAGCTGAAATGGCCCGATGGAGTGGAGGCCACGTACCGGAAAACGCAACAAGGTGAACCGACGACCTGATAAAGGTAGCAGGAAGACGCTGGATGCAGGCCGCTACCAACCGTGCGATATGGAAGTCATTGGGGGAGGCTTATGTTCATACACAGGCAGGTGCGGGCTACGTTCATTTGACCTGACCGTGGACCGCAGGACGTATCTAGTGTAGTAATAAAAGGGGATCACTGATGACTCCCGTGGTGTTAACAATGACAAAACATGTGTCATTTAAGGTCACTGGCTACCCGCTAGGGTGTCAAAGTGTCACGGATGTACATATTAAAAAAAAAACACAGGCTTTGAACCAATTTTAATTGTAAAACCTTAGCATTGAAAATGCTTGCTTATAAAGTTTTAATAACAACATCATGCTTGTTGGCACGTATATTGTATGTTATTTACTAAAGAAATACATAGTATGTAATCGTAACATTGTACAATCGAAACTGTACAAAACTTGACATTCCATTATATTTGGAGCTAAAGTAAAGCTTATTTATTCTGTAAATAGATTAAACTTGTAAATATTTAGCGTTACTACATAGTTCTATGTAGAATATCTTATCATATACTTACACTATGTACGTATATTGTGATTTATATACCGTCCAAAACGACTGTAAATATTTTTCTTACTTGCAGCAAATCTATAATTTATGGAAAACTATTTATATTTTTAGATAAGTTATTCGAGTAAATAAATTTTTCATTACTTAAAAATGGTATTTTTTTACAACCCTCCTAAGATATGAGTATAAAAATTAAACACTAAGGCTGGGTTGCACCATCTTACTTTTACTTTGACAAATGTCAAAAATCTGTCAAACTCCATACAAAAAGCACCGGTTATCGTCATAGTTACTGTTAAATTTAGGTGGTGCAACTCAGCCTAAAACTTTTTTATGTACCTTAACCTTACTTATACATGTCGTACCTAGTTAAAGATAAAAAAATACTGTGCAATTTGCACAGTTTTAAAAAAATAGTTACCTAAAAACAACGAGCAACTTTTTTCCAGCTATGAAAAAAATTAATACTATGGTGAGTATTGTATAGAGTAAAGCATTTCTAAGAAATGCGGGTAACGCTCTTACGAATGGTAAAAAACGTGAAATGTACGACGTTTAGTCCGTGAAAAGATGACACTGACACTGACCCTAGAACATTTCATAGAGCGGCTCGTTGTTCTATTACAAGTGCCTAAATGCTCTCCTTAAGACAGTATACTTTTGAGTCGAGAGGTATGAATTAATAATATTCCTTACTACAGCTCCTGTGGATCTTGAATACAAAAATTAGTCAAAAGTTGTCTTAGTTTAGTCAACAAATATTTGCGAACTCTGGTACTTATCACCCGTATTCACAAACATTACTATGAGATCTCACAGTGCGCGTGGGTGCACACGCACACGAACCAATCACAGAGCTTTATTCAACGCTGTGCGTTCGATTTGCTACTTCACGTAAGCAAGCATCGTTTGTGAATACGGGCGTATACTCAGTAAGTTCCAAATAACCTGCCAAACATTTCCATCATACACAACTTTCATCACCTGATAAACGCTCTATCGCCATCCATTGTTCCACCAAATCCCAGCAGTATATCCGTACAAAATATTTATTGCCCCTTTTAAATATACCCCTACGTAGGCGTCGCAAACACGCGAACCTCGTTTGGATTTGCATAAAACAACTTCACTTGGAAGTATTAAGTCTTAATTGTGCCTGCCGTGGAGCATGCCTTCGTCCTGTGGGCTGTACATGCTCCTGGGTCCAGATAAAAGCAATTCTAACATTTCATTCCCCGAGGAAGTGTTCGAGTATTTATAGGGCTGTGCAGCTCGTTATTCGGTCTTCTTTTTAACTGATTCTATTAATAAAGCATTTTTAATTGAATAGAAGTTTAAGGCTGGGTTGCAGTATCTTACTTTAACAAACGTCAGAAATCTGTCCAACTCTATTCAAAAAGCTAATTATCGTTATAGTTAACGTTAGGTGTTTAAAGTTAGGTGGTGCAACTCAGCCGAAGTGTTGCGAATTGTGGGAAGTTAAACGACACTAGTTTTGTTTCTTAACACATCTTATACTGCTAATTTTAATAGATTAGATTAGCCCAAGAACACAAAAATGTGATTTTGTTAAGTAAGAATTTGTTTTATCCACAACGAGGAAGCTCTTGACCTGTATCTAGCCTGATGGAAAGTGATGATCAGGGCGAAGGTGGGAGCGAGCTTCACCCGGAATCCTAAACCACAGAGGAACTGGCTATCTTACCTCTAACTGCCGGAACACAACAAATATAATGATTGACATTATAATTGAAAATGACACTTTTTCTTTACGTTTACATTAATATCTTTAGTAGGATAGTACAGAATCTAAGTACCTACTATAAAAGCCTTCAAACATAATGACTCTATGAATTAAATTTTGATCATTAAATTAACTTTTACTAAACGTCTTATTGATCGGATTAACAATTAATCTTGCAACAAGTAATGATATTAAATTATTAATCAACCATCTGATAAAGAGTACTGAGTAGGTACTTTAATAATAATGGACGTTTAGTACCAATGTTTTCGAGTCGAGTTTCAATCAAACTGGTTTATTTAATAACTTCAAATAAAGCACAATTTTTGACGTCCTAGACTGCATCTCACTTAACATCAGGCGCGATTGCGGTCAAATACCTGCCTTGTTCTGCATGAAAAATACTTCATAACCGATGCACTGACATATTAATAAATATACAAAAATCAGGAACAAACGCTTATTACCATCCTCATCATACAAATATTTCACATCTGAACACTTATTTTATTTTCAGTACAGTGTGCTTATTGTTTGAGTAAAAATAAATAAAAGATACTGTACGAACTACATACTAGTCCTATGTAGACATAACAGGTGATATTCCGCAACAAAAACGAATAACTCGATGTGCATTCGACTGTACTCAAGCAAACCTATTGTCTAACAAACCGTGTACACCCAAACGAGTCCGAACAGGTCAATCATCGCTGTAATAAATCTTTACACAGAAACAATTATTACATTACCGTCATTGGTGGTCCATTTTCGGACCACCAAAACGTTCCAACTTAATGATATTCTATTCGATCACGAAACTTACTGAGAAACTATTAAGCTATTAATAGAACCACCATGATTGCACCTATCCGTTTGTGCGTGGGTGTCGTCCACTTCAAATTATGCACTCTCTCACCTATTTTAAGTAGATTGCAATAGGAGCGTAGGCTTTTGTTTTCGTTAACGACTTCGTCTCCTTTGGGAGATTTAGCAGCTTGTATAAGACACTAGAACCGTGGATTGGGCAGCGAATATTCTATAGCATTATGTTAAAATCGTAAAGTAGTTTAAAGATTTCTCCAGACAAACAATTGGAAATGTTTTGTCTCTTGATGCCCACCAACATCTGAATATTGATTCAAAATTCAAATACTTTTACAATCGCAGTTATGAATATTCATTCACAGTGTGTTATTATACTAAGCATCATCATCAGACCATGTTCTGACTCGCACGTAGGATGTCTCTTGCATTTAGGTTTCCTATATTATTTTCATTTGAAACTAGATGTTGTAACAGAATCCTATTTGCAAGTAAAGACTAAACGCGTAAGAATAGTTATATACGCTAGAGATTTGAACCTACAGCTTATAATTGTCACGTGAGTATTTATTTTCTTGAGTACATCCGAACAAACCTCATTCCGTCATCCCAACAAAGATCACTGTATAAAACTCGTGCGGTACATTCTCTATTATTTTCAGTTAATCGATACTTATCGAAATGTTTTTAGCGTTCTCATTTCACTTTTTACACCGGGCGATACCAACAGAAGTATTGCATTCACGTTTCAAACGGTGATTACAAAAAGTTCGATTAAACCAACAATTTAGATCGGCGCGGGCGCACAATACCATAGATCGCGCTCCAGGAGCGAACGCGCACTGGCCAGTATAAATTTAAATGGATAAGTTTAGATTTGTTACAGTCGCCGTCGTTATAAACGAATAACTTTTATAACATTTTTGCTTGATAGACCTTTTTGAAGAGTGTTGTCACAGTTACAGAGTACTATAAATATGATTCAAAACTTAACATCCTGAAGCAGAGTTTTGGGCTGAAACTGTGTAGGTTTGTTGTCGACACGACTTGAAGAAGATCCTGAAATTAAGTTAAAAACTTTCAGTGCAGGTGGACCAATCTGGATGCGGGCAGCGTAGGACCGGTCGTTATGGAAGTCTTTGGGGGTGGCCTTTATCTAGAAGTGGACGCTATTTCACAAAGGAACTTAAATAAGTAGGTACCTAGTATCTTTAAATAGACTTCGGACTCAGGTTGGCCGTAGTAAGGACAATCTGGTCAGGTGGGGATTCTTGGATGGCTTAAACATGGAGTGCACGTGCGGTTTTGTTCCCCAGTCGATGAAGCACCTGATGTCGTGCCCTGAGTACCCAAGCAACTGCACTCAGGAGGATTTGATGAGTGCTGCTGACAACGCCACTCTTGTGGCGGGGTTTTGGGCTGACACTGTGTAGGTTTGTTGTCGACACGAAAAGAAGAAGAGTACCTAGAATACTTAGCTTACATAATTATACCCAAGAGTAACTTAACATTCGCGTTGCTATAATTTTAATTATACTGACCAATAATATGCTTCTCCTTCTCTGAAGGTTACGGTAAGGTACGGTTACGTAGAGGTATCAACGTTGGCGGTAGAGACGACGTTTCTTCATGATCCTTTGTCATCTCCCTGTTGACAAAATAATACACTAATCATGAATATTTTGGTGGATTGCTGATGGTCTTATTTTTACTACCATTCAATTGTTGAAGACGACTGTACTTAAAAGGGTCATCTTATACTGGTGGCCTGAACCTATCAGCCCATCTCCGAGACAAAAAATCCAATAATGCCCAAGCGAAATAGACAAGTTGTTTGGATCAATATGGAGTTTTGTTCAGAGCAAACTGCTTTGTCATAGGACGTAATCGAAGCTTGACGGTGGCTTTGTATCGGGTCTGTGCCCGTCATCGGGTTTTTGTTAAGTTATCTGATGAGTAGTGCTCCCATTCGCCGACAAAAAACTGATCGGTCGCACGTCTGAGGGCACAATCGGACAGCAACCGTTCGGGTTACTGCTGCAATACGATCGTGTTTGTTTTTAATTTCGCTTGCCTTTGCACAGTGGTCATGGAGTAATAGTCATTTATTTTCTGCAAATAGGCTTTCTGAAAACGCTTTAACAGG